AGAACTGTGCAGCTATGTCCTCTGTGCTGTTGAAATCATGGTATTTGCAACAAGTCAGTATTATTCATGGATTTACCCTTGTTTTCTCTCTCATATCCTCATTCATTCCTGTGGAACTCTTTAAGAAAAAGGAGATTTCTTCTTACAGCTTCACTTTAGTGACTAGCCACTTATATTTTGAGCATCAGAACTCTTCTGGCCCTGAAAATCTCCAGCACTTAAACCTTATCCAGATTTTCTCTTGTTTGTGGTCTTGGAACTGTTGGTGCTGAGAGCTTTTTTTCCCCCTACCCCGCAGAAAGTATCTTTCAAAGAGATAAAAGAACTATTGGAATTCTTTTGCCTCTTCTCCATAGATCTATAGTTTTATCAGATGAGAAATAAAGGTTTTCATGAGAGGAATTATGAAAGTGCTCCTTTTTGACTCCAGCATTGCCAAATCTCAAAGCTGAATTTCAAGGTTTATAATATTTGATCCTTTTTTTCAGTAGTTCTTTTAGAGCGTATGTGACTTACAACTTCCATTTTAAAGAAAACTTCTCTTCCTTGCCATTGTTGAAAAAACCTTGAAAACATCATAATTTCAGTAAATCCTAAAAGCTCAGAAACAGTAAAAAACAGCTCTCTGAAAGAAGTCATAATTTTGGGAAAATTCTTTTGACTGTCAGAATCTACTTCATGTACCTTGACGATTGTTTCTCAGCTGCTTCCTTCTCTATTCTGAAATGTGTTGTTCAGGTTCCAGCCAAGTGCAGGCAGGTGCCAAAAATCTTTACATTGGGGTAAATAGGTTCTGTCAATTTTGCTTCAGCAGAGCCGGAGAGGGGAAATTATGCTCACCTCCCTTATCCTTCTATAGGAAATCCAACAGGAAAAAAAAAAAAGGAGGGATCTTTGTCACAGCAATAAAAGCATGGTTTATTTGGTTTCTAGATACTGAGTGTGATCCAACACATTTATCCTTTTTAAGACAGTATAGCCAGGCTTGAAGATCCATTTTTTTATTAGTATGGCTGCTAAATTTTTAGGCCAGGTTGCTTTATAGTATATCTGAGAACATGAAGATAGATATCTTGCAATCAAGAAAGCTTTCCACTAAAAGACTATGCTGATAAAAAATATATGTAGAACGTTTTATATATAAGTTTATATTATGTTAGTTTTGCTGTATTGGATGCATCAATGAATTCCAGGCAACTTGAAAGCCTTACAGGGGTGCTACACTTGCTATCATGTCCTTCTGAGAGCAATCTTTTTGTTTCTCCACCTTTCAGTATAATGATCTTTAAAAATGAGTAGGCATTGCTATCTGCAAATCATTGGACTTGAACCTTAGGTTTGCTGTTCATATCAATGTTTTTATCATCCTTTCTGCTTGTGTTCTCTTTATTTGAATGTCTCCTTTCTGGTATCAGTTAACCCACTAAGAGACCTCAGACACTTAAATCACAGTTACGTTGTGTAGGAAGAGGTGATACACAATTTCTTGGGTTAAAGGACTGTAGCTGGTGACACTGCAGATCATATGATAGATGTGGCCGTGTATAGTAAAATTTTAGGCAAGAAACACATCAGACAAAAAAAATTTATAAATGTTTTTGGCTAGGCAGATTGCTCTCCTGCCAAAGCAGGGAGCTAGATAAAATGTGATGTTGCTCAGAATCATCTAAGTTACAGACTGGTTGAGGGAAAATCTAATGAGAAGGCTGAAGCCTCATGATGTGTCTCTGCAGTATATCCATATTTGAAATACTTTGAATACACACAAACACTATGTGGATAAATACATACACCAGTATACATACACAGTAAAAATGAAGAGTTTTGCTTAATTTGCTTGAATGCATACAATAAGCATAAATATTAGCTACATGGAAATGCATAAGCAGATTGGTCTGTTGAGGACTCCAAATAATCTGTTTTTTTCTTGAAGGACCTTTTAAAAGATTTCGTGGGTCTCAACAACAACAACAAAAGATGTTTCTCAACTTTTGTCTACTGAATTTTGAAGAGAAAGAAGAAAGCCTATCATCCTTGCCATGCTCATCATAGCTGATGAGCTATGTAATTTCTTCTTGCTCTGCTGAAGCAAGACAGGAGAGTCCTTATACTTACATCTGTTTCAGGTTTTCATGAATCTTCTATGCTCCCAAGTTGAACTAAGAATATGAAAACAGTTAAATGTGTTTGTATCTATACTGAATTCTACAAATTAATGAATTAAACAAATTTAAGGATTAGACCTTTAAGAAGGTCTAACCTACTTAAAAATCTTTTTAAACCAGTAAATAAATAGTACTTACCATGAACAAGGCTAACGCTAGTCTAAACAGTCAATTTACAGGTCTGCCAGCCAGGTTCTTTTATATTGCTTTACTTTAAATACATTAGGCACGCTTAGATTATTCCAGTACTGGTTACATTGAGCTTTCATTCAGAACAATTTTATTTCCTCTGCATGTTCCCACCTCCCAGTCTTAAACACATTAGTAATCAGTTATACTGCATATTTTTTTTTTTTTTTAATTATCAAAGTTACAAGTCATTTAACAGGCTCTGGCAATTGCTGTATTCATTACAATGTGTTGCACCTCTGTTTGCTCTCAAAATGGTATCCACTGACATTTTGTACAAACTCCTTTTCGATTTTTTTACTTTCAGGACTAATAGTACATGAAGGTGCCTCTGTTTATCGCGTGTTTAAGCGCTGGAGGGCTGTGAATCTCCACTGGGACGTGTTAAATTACGATAAAGCCACAGACATAGAAGAGAGCAATCGAGGAGACTCCTCGGCAGGAAGGACATTGTGGTTACCACTGGCTGCGTTCCGAAACAGAAGTTTAGTCCACCCGACCCAGTTAACCTCACCCAGGTTTCAGTGTGGCTACGTATTGTTACAGCTGTTCAGCCGCGTGAGACCTCAGGAAGGCTCAGCAGAGGACAACGGCTCCGGGGAAGTCGTGATGAGAGTGACCTCTGTGTAAAGGCGACGCTCACTGCGCTGCACAGATCAGGGTGATGCACCCTCATGTTCCAGGACTTGGGAATGTAGTTACCATGAATGATGAAACCATTAACACTTGAAAAAATATATACACTTTTTTTTTTTTTTTAAATTTAATGCTTTTTATAAGATCAGCTAAAACACAAATACATTTTTCTGGGGTGAAAAAAAAAAGTCTTGCTTTTTATACAGTCTGGTTTATTAGATCTTTTGTCAATTTGTACTTGAGCTGTATACAATATAGTTTAACTCTTAGGTCTTTGAATGAGGAGGAGATTAATTTTTAAGTAAAATCTATTTAAATGTATTTTCTTAAACTCTGGCTTTAATCCACTACTGTTATTTTCCCACTTTCATGAGGAATAAACTGAACAACCTTCTTCTAAAAAGAAAAATAATGTTGACACAAGTCAAGTATTCTTCCTTTTTTGTCTTTATTTTGTTGTTGTTCCTGGCTCAGTTCAGGCGCATGAGCATAAGTAAGGGCTGTATTGTCCCTTGCCTTTGAGCGGGAAGTCCAGTCGTTTTTGCTTACAAAACATAAGGGAAGATGGGAACTCTTCTGTTCTGTTAGCTCTGCCACGTGGACGTGCAAGGTGTCAGACACAAGTATGATACAGAGAGGGGAAGAGTCTTGCTCTGCCTCTCGAGCCTCTAAGGTCTGCAGGGTGCTGGTGCTGTGCTTTACACAGAAAGGACATTACCTGCTGAGAAGTGGTGCTGAATCTAGTAGCCTGTTAATGTCTAGTACCATTCTAACTACAGGACATTGACATCCCATAGTTTTTTTTTTTTTAAAAAAGAAGAAATGCACATTTAAGCTTCTGCAATAATAATAAATCCTAATGGAAACTAAGTTAGAATTAATGCAGGGTCTTAATTTTGCCATGTAACAAATCATCATATTAAAAATGAGCCAGTATTCACTTTTATCATGATAGCTACTCAATGATGTGAAATTTTCTTCTCTGTTTTGGTCTCATGGCAAAAATTCTAATATTTAATCAAATAGAAAATATTCCCTAGTTAGTACTTAAGTTGGTGGAAGAACAAGATGAAAAAGTAGGGCTGAGATGACTCTGACAGCCAGCCAGGGTCAACCCACCACAAACTTGTTTTAAGTAAGCGAGCACTCTCAGAGGCCCACCCAGCTGCTCTCTCCTTCCTCAACAGGACAGGGGGAGAAAATAAGATGAAAAAGCGCATGGGTTGAGACAAAGACAAGGAGATAACTGACCAGTTACCATCTTGAGCAAAAAAGAGACAACATGAGGAAAATTAATTTATTGCACATGAAAATAGAGTAGGACGGTGAGAAACAAAGACAAAACCTAAAACATGTTCTTTCTACCCGCCTCCCTTCTTCCTAGACTTAGCTTCACTCCTTCACTCCTGAGTCCTCTGCCTCCTCCCCACAAGCACTGCAGGGACAAGGGGAACAGGTTGCCGTGGTCAGCTCATAACAGCTCCTCTTCATGCTCCTTCCTCTTCACGCTTTTCTCTGTTCCAGCCTGGGGCCTTCCCACGGGCTGCCGTTTCCATCAGGATAAATCTGCTCCAGGGTGGGCTCTGCATGGGCCACAGTTCCTTCAGGGCATGTCCAGCTGCTGTGATACGGGATTCTCCAGGGGCTGCAATGTGGCTATCTGCTCTAGCATGGTTTTCTCCATGGGCTGCAGGAAGGAACTGCTCCAGCTTTTCCTCACAGGGTCAGGGCCACAGGGGAGCCTCTGCTTGGGACCAGCTGTGTCTGGCATGGGGCAGTCACAGCTTTTCCTCCCCTGGAGCCTCCCCTGCAGCTCCTCACCCAGTCCTCTCTGGGCACCTGCACCCCATGGCCACCTTAACATTTTTCAGTTTCAAAATAAGTTGTAACCAAAGGCTGAAAAATTTTAAGAGTTACCTCATGCAGTAGCTGGAGTTCTGTGGCTTTAAATTTCCCTCTCGGGGCCAACAAGATGGTGCTGGAATCAGTGCATGCCTTCCCTTTGTAAGAATCTCAGGTGCCAAGGAAGGCTTTGTCCCCTCCCTAATCCTGTCCCCATGGTCAGTAATGTGCTCCCCACATGCTGCCACCCGCCCTGGTCTCCCCTCGGTTCTGAACCACAAACTCTCACTGGATCTGCACCTCTCCCATACATCCCAGCTATTCCTTTACGCCTTTGATATTCCCCTTCCTCTTCTTCACTGCCTGGATTTCTTGCTTGTCTTTCCTGAGAGTGCCACAGTGAGTTACTGGAAGAGCTTCCCAATGAAGCAATGTTCAAGCTGTTTCAGAGGGAGTTTGATTACTTCATGGAAGTAATTGAGATGTTACTACTAGTGGTGGCAGAAGACTGGGTTTAAAACCCTTCCTTCTCTGCATGCATTTCTAGGGACACAAAATGCATACATCTTCTCTTCAGAAGAATTTCATGTCTCTTCCAAACTAGACTTTTTTCTAGTTAATCAGGTCACGTGAGAAGTATGCATTTAATGGACATCAAAAAACCACTGTTGACACAACCACAGAACTAGATTACAACATGAAGTGATGTCCGGCCTGATATTCCAGACAGAGGAACAGGACTGGGAATCAGACCTAATGGAAAACCTGTGTTTCACTCAACATCCTGTTTGAATACTAAAAGTGCAAGCAGGAGAAGATATAGCACAAACTGAAGATTTTGCCCCACCAGCTCTGGAAAGTCAGATTTTCCTTGCATTAGTCCCCGCTGGACTAATCCGAACAACAGACTACAGGCAGTGTAAGGGCAACTTTTGGGTTTCCCTATTGGGGCAGAGTAGAAAGATGAAGAGTTGTGTGTGGAACATCCCATGCATTCCTATCGCCTTGAAAGCAAGGAGGAATCAGATTCTGCTCATTCAAGGCTAGCAGTGTTGCCTGCTTAAACTGAAGATCACTATCCCCAAACTGTAGGTGGGGAGACACAGTCTTCCAAGGTTCTCAAGGACAAAAACATTTCCACTCACTACTCCGCATGCAAGGTTTTAAAATGTTTGAAGTAAAAAAATATGGTTTTATAATAATTAGATTACTGTGAGAGGCATATAGTTTAGGGAGTCAAACTTTGTAGAGGTCCCTGGACTGGACACATTCAAGAGCCATTTTGAGTATCAATAAGAAAACCAAATGCAACAAACTGAAGCCTCTTCATAAACACTTTCTTGACCACAGAAGACTAATCTGATGGGACCTCTAGAGAGTAGCTCCCCAGATTCTCATTTCTTTCCTTTGGAATTATGTTAAAATTTGTTAAAACAAGTAATTTAATATTTAAAGAGAACCTTTTCACACATTCTCCTCTTGAAACTGCGCGCCATCAGGAGTAGCCCGCGGTGGCGTGTGAATCCAGTTCGGCAATTGAAAGAGGACTGCAATGGAGCAGGCAGCAGGCCCTGGGGGAGCCCTGCCAGTCTGGTCCCACCCTGCCCCGCGCTGCTGCAGCCCGCCAGGGACATCGCTGCTCCCTCCCTGGGACACCCTGGAGCCCAGCGTGACTGCGGAGCTGACTGCTGCTGGCTACCCAGGCACTGCTTGTGCAACAGAAACTTTGAGGAAGGGATATATGGGATTTGGCTGGTGGCATTTCATACTAGTTGCTTGATAATATTTGTTTCTTTTTAACTACTAGTCTATTGCATCTCTGTTCTGTAAATGTCATATCTGTGGAATCGTTACCAATATTGAAATCTACCTCAAATCTACATATGGCAGCACAGGACAATACAAGCAGGCACTACTATACTGAGAAGCATACTTCTCCCTCTGAAACCTTAACAGGTGCTTTAAAGAGATCTGAAGATTTCTAGTGGACTAAATTTGAATATTGTTTGTTTTTATCTGTCAGATCTGTGATTCCATTAATTATGTCTTGAGGAACGTGAACATTTTCTAATGGTTGAATAATATGAACTGTTAGCAGGTTTTCTGAAGAGAAATGAAGATGCTCTTCAAAATATTTAATCTTTTTTTTCCTTACATAATTAATTTTCATAAACCTCTTAATAATTTCAAAAAATCCCAGTGAGTTACCAGTTGCTAGAATTACCTGTTAGCTGTTGTGTAAGAGGAGATAAAGCAATATTCAGGGCTGATTTTATTACCTTAGGATGCCATAGCTATCTTTAAAAACTGGTTAACACCTGTATTTCATTTTATTAAAATCAGAAATAAAGTTCCAGATCTTTTGACATTCAGAAACGTGTCAGGCAGATACTGACATTTCTCCTGGATTTAAGAACAGATATTTATAACACCCTGCAGAGTGCAGCCACGGTCTGAATCAAAGGTGATGCACACATTAAAAACATGGCAAAAAATAAAAAGGAAACTCTAGATGTGACCCTGAGAACCATAAACACCTTTCAAAGATCACCTGCAGATAACAGAAAAATAGCAATCAGTAGCATAATTTTCTCCTGCTGTGGCCAGTCAGCTGTCCTGCAGGCATGTAGAAAACCCATGATCATCCTCCTACTTAATGAGTTCTTGCCTGACAGAATGAAGCTATCCTTGCCCCTGGAGTTTCCACATGTACAAACTCTGACTGAATTTGACCCTGATTCATTACCATTTGCTCCCTCAGTTCAGAAGGCCTTAGCAATGGGCTTGAGGTATTGCCCTCTGAAGGATAAAAGACTTATCAGCTGGCTGAAAATTTGTAAAAGCCTTATGGAGTGACATCTGCAGCATGAAGCAGCTGGCTAAGCCAACCACAGAAGTCATTTTAACATCAGTCCAAGTGAACTGTGTTGAATCAGGTCCATGCTGGGAAGTCCATATGAGTGCCAGATTTCAGGATCAGCCATGAACAGAGGCCAGAAATGGTGCCAAGGTCATTGCAAGAGTTAAGGTGAATGAAAGGAGCTTGGACAGTGGTGGCTTGGTGATCTGGAGAACTTCCTCCAGCTTCCACAGCTCCTTCCTGGCCCCAAACCATGCTTTATCCTACACGTGAAGCTGGAAGAGGAAGAGATAACTCCTGAAAGCAAAAGTCATGCTGAATA